TGTTCGTTACTATTTGAAATGACGCGACATGACTAAGAAAACACCGTGTAAGAATTTGTATTTGCATAATATGAATGAAAGGTGTATGACAACAACAAAGATGCCTGATTCTTGGCCAGGCGCCATCACTTAGCCCGCCTGCCAAGCATCTGCCGGCCACAACAAATGACGCGCACACACCAGCGGCCCGCCCCATGTTGTTTCATCCTGCTCCGTACCATATACTGTACTGGCTGGCCGCCATGACTGGGCCATGTTCATTTTGGCAAAAACCATTTTTCGCGGACGCCTGATCTCAGTTGCATGAGCGCTGTAGAACTCTCAGCTACGCGGAACAAATTCGAGTGAAAATCAGCCAGAGATACAATTAAAGCCAAACACTTAAAGTATTTGTCTAATACATAGACTAACAACTAGTCGCCAGTACTAGGCCGATCCTTAGTGAAAACAAAAGTGACAATTATCCAATAAAGAGTGCTTTCAATTGTGGACGTTACGAAAGTGCATGCAATTGCTGAAATTGCAAAATTGCAGCCGCAAATAATTTTCATTGCAGACCAACAATTGCCTATAAATAGCCCATAAGGTAGAACAAATCCGTCTGCCTTATTCCCAGAACATTATAAAATTATAAGTACTAACAAATTTCGTCTAATTTTCTACTGTACGTAAGATACAAGATGATTACGCATTGACTATGATGTCATTGTAGAAGACATCAACTACATTTTGATCTTAATTAACATAATTAATTTATAAACATCTTTACATTCAAAGATTGTACTAAAACGACCTTTGATAAATTCTAATACAAAATGGGTAAATACTGTATAATAAATCAATGCTTTGCATAGCCATAGCCATTCTGAGCCATTAGAGATTATGCTTATAGTTTGTACGAGAAAATACGAATCCTATGAGTGCAATTCAGAAAAACTCATGGGACTCAAGTTTCTTTTTCCCTGGTGCAAATATAGTATGAGTATAATACAGACTGAGCAACAAATTGTTTTCTATGATGTTAGATTAAAAAGAAAAAATAGTTTGAAATTATTTTAAAAAAAATATATAATATAAATAAAAATAAAAATTAATCATATATAACTTTTATATATATTTAGATTTACTATTATTATTAATAAATATAAATACTTTTGAAGACATTTTTAAGTACTTAAAAAATATTTGCAAAAAAAAAAAAAATAAAATAATAATAATAATAATAATAATGTATTATTAAAAAATTTAATTCAAAAAATACTGTTTATGATATGATCCAATTATTATCACTTAACTCTAAAAAATTGATATATTCAAATAATTTCTGTTATAGCACTGCTTTTTAGTAAGTCCATTTATATTAGTTTTAGTAATCCATTTATATTGCAATATCGAGAAGCATGTATTCCCCAGGGTATCTCGAGACCATAGAGCCATTAAGTTAAGTATATGTAGCATAGAATAATGATTGATTTGCATTATCAACATTATTGATGAATGAATGAATTCCTTGGCTACTTATAGCAACAATAAATACACCGACACAAGCCGATGCCTGCCCAAATACACGCCCATATACTATACAGACAATAGATCTTAGAGTGCAAGCCCCGCAACAATCAGCCAGATTAGCGCACACAAGTCTTTTTTAAGTATTAGAAAGTCATTATGGATAATTGGAACGTTTTGGCAGCGCAAACCTCATCCCAGGCGATTGGACGAGATGAGACGGTGGTCAAGACGCGTCTGGTGAGTACCGCTAAGAAATTCCCCTCTCAAAAAGAAAAGCATGCAGTAAACAAAACAAATTAAAACGATTGCGTAGAATGAGATGCATATACAGTTTGTATACATTTTATGTACATAGTAAATATGTACATATATAAATACATATGTATGTATGTTATATACAAGACTAAAGAGCTAGGTATATGGTCGGTCTACTGCCTATCCCATCAGCTCTTCATCTAGCCCAGAGTTTTTCGCTCTTTTGACCACCAAAACGCAATGATCTGCTCTAGAAATTCTTGGCATTTTGTTGTTTTGGTTGCTCTGAACATTACTAGCGCTCATCTATAAATAGGATCTCGATCGATAGTGCTTCTCTTTAGCTGCCTTGCTGCCTAGCAGCGAGTTTGTCAAATGTTTGTGGGCTTTTTGGAGATTCCGCGCAGTAGCGGCAAGTAGCCACAGCTAATTCAGAAATTCAGATAGACAGACGTTGAAGGTGCTCGACAACGCGCGTTTCGCTCGCACTCGCATATTTCTTTTATATAAGCATCTATACTATATAGAACAATGGATATTTCGACCGATATTTGGGGCCAGCTGGCCGTAGAGGCGTCCCAGGTGTACCTGTCCGATGGCACCATGCGTAGTCCCTTTGCAGATACGGTAGTAAACAGATCGGAAGAATCCATCCAGATATTGATGGATCAATCAGGTTAATATATACATATGTGCTTTGTTTCTCCCACAGACAATTGAGAAGCTGCCCGACAAGGTGCTGTTGCATATATTTTCGTATCTGTCGCATCGGGAGATTTGTCGTCTGGCCCGCATCTGTCGTCGCTGGCGAAAGATCGCCTACGATACGCGTCTTTGGAAGAATGTTTCGCTGCGTCCGGAGGTATCGGGGCTGCACGTTGGCTCTCTGGAAATGCTGCTCTCTCTCATTTCGGTGAGATTCGGGCCAACGCTGCGCTACATCGAGCTGCCCATCGAGCTGATCACGCATACGGTGCTCCACGAGCTCTCGGCCAAATGTCCCAATCTAACCCACATGCTGCTGGACTTTTCAACGGGTAAGTAATTGAGTTGATTCGTCAAATGGTAACTAATCTCTTCTACCTTGAATCTCTTCTACCGAGCGTAGCCATGCAGTTGCATGACTTCAGCGAGATGCAGGCGTTTCCTACCAAGCTGCGCTACATGTGCATCTGCCTGTCGGAGGTGATCTTCATGGAGGGCTTTATGCGCAAGATCTACAACTTTATCAACGGCCTGGAAGTGCTCCACTTGGTTGGCACCTACGAGAAGTGCGAGGAAGAGGAGGAGGAAATCTATGAGGTCATCAATGTGCACAAACTTAAATCGGCCACGCCCAATTTGCGTGTAATCAACCTGTATGGCATCAATTTCATAGACGATTCGCACATTGATGCCTTCAGCTCCAATTGCATACAGCTGGAGTGCCTGGCGGTCAACTTCTGCAACAAGGTGACCGGGTCCACGCTGAAGACTTTGGTGCAGCGCTCCAAGCGCTTGACCTGCCTGCTAATGAATGGCACCAGCCTGAAGTCAGAGTTTGTAATGCAAGTGGAATGGGATAAGTGCGCGCTGCAGGAGCTGGATATAACAGCCACCGACTTGACCACCGAGTGCCTGGTGGACATGCTGACTCGTATACCCAGTCTGAAGTTCCTCTCGGCTGGCCAAATCAATGGATTCAATGATACCGTCTTAAAGCAATGGATGGAGCAGGGCAATACCAGGTCAAAGCCTTAATGAAACTTGTCACATTCAATGACTTATCAATTAACCCCATCAGATCCCTCAGCTCCTTGGACTTGGATTCCTCGGACAACATCACAGACGAGGGTATGCTCAAGTTTCTGCAGCGCCACGGTCACCAGCTGAGCGCCTGCTGTCTGTCCGGCATGCCACACATTACGGATCAGCTCTGGATGAGCATACTCCCCATGTTGGGCAACTGCAAGTGAGTAGGCCATTGTTTCGCAAATGAAGTTGTCCACATACTAAGATTTGATGCTACACAGAATAATCGTAATGGGTACGGCCGAGAAGCTGGGCGTCAATATACACGTGGATCAGCTGATGGACACAATTGCCACCAACTGCGGCAATCTGGAGCGTCTGGAGCTACGTTGGGATCCGGACAACTTGCGATTCTCCGACAAGAGCCAGAAGGCAATCGATATACTGCGCGTCAAGTGTCTCAAGCTGCGCTGCATGGTCTTGAGGTATGAATGAAATCAAGCTGAAAGAATTTTGTTAATTGACCCAAATTATCTCGCAGCGATGGCCGTTACTATGAAACCGTGAAGGCCAACTTTGAGCGTGCCGATCGCACCACAGTGGTGCGCACCACCACCTGCTGTCGGGTATCGCCATATCATTTGTTGCGTAACTACAACGACTTGATTTTCAACTAAAGATCGAGTGCTAAACTCCCTGCTCTTGCTCTGCATCTAATCGTCGTTAATGGTTAAACTGTTGGTATCCTAGTTATCCGTGCCAAACTGAGCCGAAAGGCAAGCAGCTATCCCAAAGGAAACAGTTGTTCCTATTGCAAATATAAGAAACAATTTTGTTCGATTTAAGGCAATTTGTATTTCGGTTAACATGTTGCATTACAAAATACTTGACATTAAGTTACATATGCATATGTTTTATATACAAATTTGATACAAATCGCTGACTTTTTATACATAACCTGCCTAACAAGTTTTTATCCAATTAGTCACTTTCTCAGTGAGCTATGGTTTCACTGAAAGCAAAATCTAGGATGTTTAAATTAACTAAAACGGAATGGAAACCCCGCTGGCCTATTTCAAAGACAGCTCAAATTTCCACAGGCATTGTTCAAATTAAGCAGCAAATGTTTATTGCTTACATATTGTACTGTATTTTATCCGCTTTTTTTTTCGTTTAATTAAATTAAATTAAGATAGATTTGCTAATTTTAATTTCTTGTAAATTACAAATTATTTCGTGTTTTGTTAACTAGTTTTGTTTGTATTTTTTACTTGGTACTTGATTAAATCATTTTCAGACTTCACCGCATTTATTTTTCTGCTGTTTTTGATTTTTTTTTTTTTTCTCTCTCTTTTTTCGTTTTTGTTTAACACCATTTCACTGTTAACTTAAAACTAGCCGTTCAACATATTTGGGTCAACTTTTTACCATAAACTTAATGTACAAAGATCTGTGATTGAGTTCACGTTTCTTTCGGCGTATTCATATACAAGGGTATGAACTTATATGCATTATGATTATAATTTAATTTTGTGTTGAATTCAAGCCGAACAACTTAATGCGCTTTTTGATGAATGCGTGTGCGTGTGCGTGTGGGTGATCAGGTAAGATGACGAGGTGTTGGTGTAGTGTATAGAAACAAGTTTTCGAAGCAATTAATAAGCACGTCATAGTTTTGCTTACGAGTTTCGCATGCTTACATAAGTACACTAACACATAGAACAGTTTAAATCAGTAAAGATTACAAATAGCGAGAAAAAAAATTATTCACTGCTGCTCCTGCGATAACCGAAATATGTGCGTCGTATTGCTTGCCGCAGCAGTAGCCACAGCGGCCGCCGAAGTAGCCGTTTGTGGCGGCGGCTGACCAGAAGCTGAAATATAGCTGCTGTTGCTGCTGCCTGTATGGCTGCTGCTATTGACCGCAACAGGTCGTGTCTCTGCGGCTGTTTCATTCGTCGAATTGGCTGTCGTATCATCGACATTCGACGAGGCAGGAGTTGCACTGCTCCCCGCTGCACCACTCTCTGGGGCAGCTTCGGCAGCACGTTCGGGCGAATGACGCGCCCCTCCAGCATTATTTGCCTCCTATGGTGAATATTACATTTGTCAGAACATAAGGGATAATGGTTTGAATATGAATGAATTATTAGCTCCCACAGCTGCACTCACGTCTCTTGGGTATAAGTGTATGGGCTGCTCTGCTTGCTGAGCTGCTGCCATATCCGCTTCTTGCGTATTCTCCTCGGCTTTGTCGGTATACATCATTATTTCGTGACACAGCGGACAGCGGTCCTGGACATAGAGCCACTTGCGCAGGCAAACACCGTGGAAGAAGTGACGGCAACGCGTTATCTTTGCCGAGTACATTTCCTGAAAGAAGCGAATTATTTATAGATGCTTCTGAGAAACGAATAACAACTCTTGAGCTCACCTGATAACAGATGGCACAGACATCGTCAAAGGCCTGCAGCTGGGCAGGAGTTGCCTCCGGCAATGCAGATATCTTGTGAACCGCTGAGCGTCTCTTCATGAACACCGACCAGCCGGCACGTGCCTCGCACCAGATATTGAAGTAGGCATGAATGCACATCATGATCGCCCTAATGGCGCCGCCTGTAGCATTTTGGGCTATCAAGTTATAATTATCGATACACAAAATCAACCAAATAATAAAATTACATGCACACGAAACAAAAAACTCTGCCACAAGCATTCGCAACTCACAGAGTAAACTTATACAATATGCATACATACATTTACATAAACATATATATACATTTATATAAATTTGAATGCTTTGTCACTGATTGTGTTAATGTAATTCGACGGCAAGGCCAATCTGTGCGACAGAACACTTACCCGATTCGAAGATCAGGATCCAGGCACCATTGATGAAGAGCAAAATGCCAAAGCAAAACTCCACCGAGTTGCCAAAGGCACGCACATAGTATAGATAATCGTCCAGTTTCTCCCAGAAGAACTGACGCCGGGCGTCTAGCAAAAAGAGCGTATAGGTGGCCAGTGAAACAAGCACCTGTCAAGGGACATAGGATTTAAGCTTTGGTATTGTAAATGTAGGTATAAATATCTTGCACACACCTTGACTATGACCTCCACGGAGAAAGCCGTCACCGCCAGCAGCCAAGTGGAGGGCGAGTGATGCGTCCATAAATAGTACAGAAGCCCGAGCGGCATTAGTATGAGGAATGCGCAGACGGACAAAGCGCGCACGTGTCGTTTGCGTGATGGATTCCGTGCTGCACTTAGCGACATCAGAATGGGCGACACAATGTTATGGAGGAAGTGCAGGAGCGCTGTGACCAAGAGGCACAAATTGCGACACAAACGGACAAAGCGCTTGTCCGGCGCGAGCGATGTGAGTCCAGTCTGCAGGGCGAGTATATAAAAGAGCACCGCCGACACGGTGCCCAGCGATTTCTCCTCGTCGTTGTCATACGTCAACAGATACCATTGAAAACTTCGCCCTATGTAGTGGCATATCATCGAGATGACGCCAGTCATGCCCAGTACAGCTGTTAGGGTTTCACAACCATCAACCAGCAGCTTCTCCATTGCGGGAAATAGCTGCAAAGGCACATCCGACTCGGCTGTAATCAATGTATAGCCACCTTTCAAGATTCTGTAAGGAAAGTTGTTGAAACAAATTTGCATGAGAATATTACAAATAGATCAATATATGTATTTAATCATATGTATATAGTATATACTTAAGTTGCTTCTAGCAAATACTAATATTTCACTAAGCAAACCAATTTCATGACTTAGAATACTAGTAATGTTTTGCTGAATGTTAAGCTATCACAGATGGAGATAACAAATTTTATCCAAGCACTTGAGTAATCAAAGTTATTAAATAACTTTTATATCTTTGTTTATACAATTTGATTCGAATATTCCATATGCAACCATAGTTATTTGCTTATGTATAGGATAGAGAAGATAATATTATAATATGAAAGAAATTAGATATACAAAATACCAATAAAATAATATATACCTAAACACTTTACATATCTTGTATTCAGCTACATACCTGAGAGCCCAAAATACTCGCAAGACATTGGGCACATTAAGTCGCTGCCACTCGTTCTCAATGAGAGCCGAAAGTCCAAAGTTGGATACAAAATTCATTGCGTATTGGTATCCATTGTAGACAGTTCTGCTTGCTTCCATTGCACTTTGCATAAGCGTGATTTTGGTTAGTATGATGGGCGTGAGGCCCGCAACCACGGGAAGTTTGTCCACTATGCTCGGTGGAAGTGGCAGCATGGCAAGCAGGATTGGACTAGTAAATATGATGGGCATGGACTTCTGGAGTAGCCCGAACCGTGGGCCCAAATGAATATAGGCGAAGAGCATGCCCATAACCCATTGAGCTATTAAATGTGGCGCTAGCGACATTATAACTCCGCCCGAATCCAGCAGTCTAGTTGTGTTCAGGGATAACAGATCTTCCAGCATGCACGGACTGTGCTCCATCAGCTCCAGTGCGCTCACATTGGACCAGTACGACAGAAAGGTGAGTCCCAGCGACGTTAGAAACATGTATACCATCACCAAATGCCGCGTCCACAACATAAAGATGCAAGTCGCACATAAGAAACCTGCAAGTGCCAGACAGGGTGTAAAGTACAATCAATTCAAAACAGTTGTGGGGTGATAAGCGACTGCGGTGAACGGCCCATTGAGCGCACTTACCTAGTAAACAGACGACGAATTTCACTGTCGTTATGCTCAGCATATTGGCCAGCAGGCTGTCGTTGGCCAGCTCATCCATTATATTGTTGAAATTATTGCTAAGCATGCCGCTGGCTTGCGCTGATTTGGATGCATTCTCTATGGTGTGTTCGAGGATCGCTTGGTTTCTGTGGCTGATGAGGCTGGAGGTGGTGGCTGAGTCTTCGCTGCCAATGCCAAAGAATGCCTTGATGGTGGCGAATGTGTCTGCGCTGTGGCTGGCATCGGACTGGCTGGATTTGATAGCGTCACTTTCCACTGTGTAGGCTTTGCTCGCGCCGAGCTGTATGGGCACTCCCATTCCGATTTTGAGTATCTCATCGATGACTATGATGGGCGGGACACGCATCATGACGTCCACCAACCCGAGCACCTGCGTCCTTATGGACATCGTTAGGCTGTAACTATAGCTGACGCGGCGTGACTTGACAAATTGCGTTTGCTATTGCTTGCGATTCACTAATTTAATATCAACTTCTAAGCGTCGCACGCATTTGTTGTTCTTGTTATTATCGTTGTTGCTGTTGTTGTTATTATTGTTATTGTTGCTGTTTGCTTTTTGCGAGTTTTGTGTTTTGGTTGCTCGCTCGGCTGCTTGGTTAATCGGCTGGCGTTGGCCTTCGTCTTGGATTTCGCAAAGCGAAAAGAATCGTGTACAAGTGTTATTGGTGTGTTTTTGTAAGCTGTTGGTGTGCGTCAAAATTATATTTTATAATGGAAGGAGGGGTAGGGCGGCAATTGGTAGTGAAGGTGAACGTTGAGGGTTTAGAGCGATTGCACTAATCTACATTCATTACGGCTTCCGTTGATCTGGCGCACTACTTACGATTGTTCTGTACACCAAAAAAATCGATTTAAACGCAGTAGTAAAGTTTTTTTTTTTCACAATTAAATTGAGATTTTTGTTTTTCCTTTGCTTTACTTCTTTAGTGCAATTCTCGAGCGTTTCTTCCGATATCAGTGTCGATATCGTTTGTACTATCGATAGTTATCCGGCGACCTGCAGCACTGCTACCACGCAATATAGCGTTGCCAGAGTGATAATCAGCTGATTGTTTCATTTGGCGCGTACACAATATAATTTCAAAAATTTTCCTGCAAGACAATTATATACTTAAGCATTAACAGCAATCGATTTACAGTTTATAAACATATACATTAATATATAAATATATTGTGTTGTCTGTTTGTACTTAGAATTTATAATTTTTTCCTGTTGTAATTATAGTGTATAGGGAATACGTCGCCTACTAGATAACATCAACGACAACTTTTGAGAAAATTCTTAGAGCTCACCAGCGATTAGTTTCCATTCGTACACACATTCTTCAGGACTCGTCATAAAGTGAGCTTTTTATTATGAGTTTCGCAAAACATTCTTATGCAACAATGCCATGCGCATGCATTGATATACCTATGCGCTGGTAAACAATTTTGTAAAATGGGTAAAATGGTATGCCAAAGTTGAAAATATCTGAATCTATATTCACTATACAAAGCTTGCTACAAGTCTGTGCTTACATTAAAAGCAATATACTATATATGGTTGTAATGTCCGATAAAGTAATCAAATTAAGGTAATTGTAATGCCAATTTTTGCATTTATAATTAATTTGAAAAGTTTATTCAATGCGCATTGTGTTTGCTTTTGCATTTGATTGTATTCTATTTGAATATGAAAAAGTGCATTAACTGTATTTCTTTGACATACACCTATTCCTATTCCCTATTTACCCATGATTGTCGTATATGCCATAAACGAATTTTTTTCCCTTGGTCTCTATCCCTTTTGTATCAACAAACCAGCAAATTCTTCACTATTAGAAATATGTTATATCTAAACTGAAAAGTAATTAGCTAACCCCTGTATTTAATGGATTTGTACAGCACAATATATAAAAAAATTAAGTAAAATCAAATATAGCTAAACAGTTACATATGTCTGCTCACGTGACTCCCATAAATCCGAAATACTGCATTCGTGAACTCTACGTGGCTTAGCTCGTTAGTCAGCAAACATTCTAAGGAATTTGTTTGCTGGACGGCGGGGTCATTCACTTTTTAGCATTACGAGTCGATTTGCTATTCATGTTCTGGTTGCCCACTTCTATGCAAATGCACAAATTGAGGCAATGCAGTTGCAGCTGAGCTGCCGTTCGTAATTATGCGCAATTGTTTAGTGCTCAGCTCAAAGGTTCAACTGCAACTTAATTGATTTTTCGCTTGAACAAAGAAATATGTAGGGCTTCGTTTATATGTATGTATATAAACATTTGTGTATTTTTTATTTGGTATTTGCTCGGGGTGCCCAGGTAACCAACGCTAAGTAATTTACATAGCTTTGCGTTTGGTTCTTTGCTTTTTCTTCATGTTGCATAGTTGGCGGCGCAGCAAATTGCATTACAGCAAATTAGATTTTCCTTATGGCCATGGCTGGCAAACAGTTAACACTCCCATGGCAGCGTGGATGTGGCCCATATATGGTCCTCATATATTTAATATAATCAGTGTAATTGTCAGAGGCGATGAGCTGGGGACCTGTTCCCGTGTCTCTTCGCCTGAAAGCAGCCAGCGCTCAGGTCTCACGCATGGCAATTGTATAATTTATCGCTCCAGTTCTAATCGCCAGCTGTCAATAGCTGCCAGCCTGGCCAGCCTGGCCAGCCGGCTAGCCAGTCGCTGATCTCGAGGGAACGATTTAATTCGCTGGCCATATAAGTAGGAAATTTGTACGTTGATTAACGCGCCAATCGGTTTACACAACTGCAAAAGTAACGTACAAAGTGTCGATTGTGGCCCCCCAGCCCCAGCCGCAGCCTCTGCACCTGCCTCTTCAACTGTTCCCCCTTGCATCCAGCATCTCCTGCCTTCTATCTCCGCATCCATATCGTATGCTCTCGGCCTGTCCATGTGTGATTTCATTACACTTGAAGCTATGTGCTGCGATCGCTGACTGCACTTCGCCGAATTGCCAGGACTATCTTCTACACTCACACACACACACACACACAGCTCGCACCATATGCGCATGTGAACGTGAACGTGAACGAGTGCAACGCGTTCTCAGCATGATTACCACTCATAGATAGCAACGACGACTGGCAACCTGCTGGGATGCCAAATGAATTAGCTGCTCCAGCTTCTGTGGCTGCTCTGCCCAGGCTGGCTGGCGTATTAGCTTTATGATAATGTTTGCGCTAAAATGAATAAGGGGCTTTACTCGCTCGACTAATGTGGGTATGAGTATGCTAGAGCTACTCAGCGCTGACTGGAATGGAAAATGGTATATCATGAGAATCGTGATCAGAATGGACAGAACAGCTCAACAACACTCAGATAGATGGTTTTCAAATTAAATAATTATACAAATCAAGTGAGTCGAATCACAGATAACATTGAATAATTAAATTGAAATGGTATAATCATAGTATTTATAGATTTATAGTAGATATATGTATACTGAGTTTCTAGCAGGTTACTAAATCATTATCTAAAAATGAGTTAAACACATTAACTGAAAATGTTTAAGCTTATTTGAGTTTAGTTTTCATGAATTACTATCATGCTAAAGTCGAATCTGCCAAACTCTCTCTACTTAACAGCTTTGTTGTATTAAAATTAATTGTTATTATTTATTTCAAACTTTAATAAATAAAATAAAAAATAGAAAAAAAAGAAAAACCCTAACTCAGTAAAGCTCAAAGACTCGATGGTTTACGCCAATATTAAACTTTTCTCTTTTTTTTTTTTTTTTTTTTTTTTTTTTTACCAATCCAAATAAATATTTGACTACTTCTGTTTAAATAAAAAGAAGCTAAGTTGAGAAACAATTATCAAAAATTTCAGTTTCAATTGCAAAATGTGGATTTTCCAATTTTTCACGCCTCAAATCTATAATATATATAATTTAATAAGCAATAGGAATATTTGTGAGCTCCAAAGTCATAGACTCGTGTGTGTTCTTATGAGCATAAGGATTCCTATTTCAGGCATATCAAGAAAACCTGAATACTTCAAATGACATCTATGGCAAATTTCCAGTGTGCAGCTTCTGCAAAAACGTACAATAAATATACATCATCGAGCTAATATAGCCAATTCACTTGTGGAACGAGTATGATAGAGCGATGATCATAATATCTCAGGAATTATGAATACGTAACTCAACTAGCATCTCTCTTGGCCCGACACTTGGCAGTAAGTTGTCAGAGTTATTGAGGCAGTCGGCTTCTGGTTGTTCTGGCTGCTCTTCATTGACTTAATTGGATTTTAGCTGTGTTGATTAAGCATCCGTCAGAGCTGCTGCGGCTGCTGCGGCTGCTGCTCCACTGGGCCAAATTGTTTGTCATAATTGCCAAAAAAAAAGGAGAGAAAAGAATAACTGTCACAGGTCCTTGGGATCGCTCCGTTTCGTGTGTTATTGTTGTCGTTCTCGTCGTCGTCGTTGTTGTTGTTGTTGTATATTGAAATTGATATCGTCGACCGTGGCCGTGGCAAGCGAATCGCCAATTATCTTTTGCATTCAAAGAATAATTAGGAGCTTGATTGACATGCGGGATAAGGAGACATACACTTGGAATGCCGTAGCAAATTATCGAACGGCTACTGTGCTGTGTGCTCGGCTGCACAGAGGCTGATCCACAAAAATCAAAGGCCCCAACCACGAGGAGGACGACAATGTCGCGACGCCTTCCACTTATTGATTGCCGAGCTGCTGCGCCTTTGCCAGTGCCAGTGCCTGTGCCTGTGCCTTTGTCTGCACATAGAGTGGTAATCTGATGGTGAGCCAGCGATACAGTGGCCAGGGCAAACAATGACCAGGCTCTGGGCCCCTCGGCTCTGGCTCCACTGTGAAACCCGTTTTGGCAAACGGCAGTAGCAGCAGCAGCAGCAGCAGCATCAACAGATCGCAGCTCAGCAATTACAATATGTTTAACTACGTCAGCGCGTTATCTGGGGCTCAGCTCGGAGCTGGAGTCCATGGCCCATGTCAGCGATTAATCCAGCGGGCCGCTGCCTCGTCACCGTCGCCGTGGCAAGCGCTTGTTAGGCAGCCTCTTTTTGGGGCAATTGCAGCAGCGGCCGCATCATCGATTGTGTTATCGATGGCGTTGCCAGTCTATCTCGCTCTCTCTCTCTCTCTCTCTCTCGCTCTCTCTCTTAGTCGCTGCTCCTTCCTCGCTGAATCTCATTTGCGATTAAGTTCTTATGGGCAACTGGGCACAGTTCGTGGAAAGTTGGGCAGCAGATCTTTATTGTTCGATTGGTTTATTTATAATAATTAGGTGCGCTGTCCAAGCGACTTTGTTTTTCGTGCTGTTGCGGCTATGGCTGCCGCGCGCACGCCCCTTACGCCTCTTACGCCGGCTTATCGACGTCTCCGGGCTGGCCCATAAATTCTTTAAGCTCGCACCTTTTCATTGTGCGCACTCACACACTTGGTGGAGCGATCGGTCTTGGCCACAGTTACAGCTACAGCTACAGCCACAGCCACAGCCACAGCCTGTCCTTTGCCTGGCTACTGCTGATTGCAATCGCGCTTTGCGCATGCGCGAGGACGGCCCGCAGTTTAGACCAGAGCCAGAGCCAGACCCAGGCTGATGCATGTGCATGTGCATGCGGCTGGCTACGGTAGCTGGCGCAGCGCGTTCCTTTGGTAAATTGCTCACATTAGCAGGTTGTACGACTTATTAAGTAAGCACAATTTGCGTGGCCGCCGCCCCAAAATAATGGCCAGCCGTTAAGGTGGCGACCGGGAGCCGCCTAGCCGGACAAGTGATTGTTTTATAATTGCAATCGCAATTGCAGTTCGATGCGATGCGATGCAATGCGATGCGATGTTGCTAAATTGGCTCTGGCATTGGGACCGGCCCCGTCGTGCACCGAGTGGGCTGGCCAGCGAAATTGGCAATCCATTTGAATGAATAATTGCTCAATTATTGAAGCCGACGCCGCGGCCGAGTGGGAGCATAGCACTCGCTGGGCGGAAAATTGAACGAAATTTGTCTGGCGGATCGACAAGACTTGAGCAGAGGAATGCATATAGAATATATGCACATATACAAATATGTATAATTATATAATGCATGCAATTAAAAACTAAAATTAGAAACTGGAAAATTCAGCTGAAATTCTTGTTTTTATTTATTTTTTATTATTAAATTATTTTTATCTTTATTTTATT